TACACAACTGTTTGTCAGACTTCATTTCTTGCACCTTTTGTTTTAAATAACATCAAAATAGATGTTGAATCCTACAAACAAAAATGACATTCACCAGTTACCAATAGAAATGTAGTAAGTACACACTGCAGGTTGAATTTTACATACTGAACTGCATTCTGTAACAATGATTACCCACTCAAACGAATAACATTTACAAAGACACAAAAGTAAAGTGTCAATCTACTTCAAAATTCTCTTCTATGTCTTCTTTATTCCAAGTTTTGTATAACTCAGTAATTTCCAGTGGAAATTATCCTTATAATTTCACCAACCCTTACATTAATTTGATGTTCCTACCGCTGATGATCTTAAAGTACTTCACAAGCATAGTTGAAAGGCAAAACTATTACTGTGCTTATTCAATATCTGGTTAAATAGCAATATGTAGAGTCATACATCTAAAGGTCATGAAGAAAAAAAAAAAAAAAAGGAAATAAAATTATGCTTTTCCAAACTGTTTTTGGGATAATACTGAATCTAGAATCTCATTAAAAAAAAAAAAAAAAATCTGTTTCCAGATAATCATTACTGTGATAGCCTTGAATCAAGAAATCCATCCAATCTTGAATTAAAGCCACAGAGTACAGAAGTACCCAGAATCAATGCTAGGTCGATTTTCTCAGTGGTTGGTTACCCATACTGCGAGAAATCTTACAGGTTTCTGGGCTGAAAGTATCTAGCTTTCACATCTCTCCACTGGATTGGGTTATAATTTCTATAAATATTTTCTTTCTACATACAAAAGCTGGCTAATCAACACACATGTAGCTCCAAGCCAGCCCCAGCACACAGTATGCCTTCTGGTGCAGGGAATGTAGGGGAAGGAAGAACGGTTGATACAGGCTGTTAAACGCAAGTCAGTGTAAAAGCAGACTTTACCGATCTGATTGCTTGCAATAACTTGTTCTATCACATAAGCCTAAACCACATTCCTTCTGGAAGTATATGGGGTGTCTTTTGCCAACAGTTTAAGTATAGGTACTCTTCACTTTGTTGCAAGTCAAACATTTAATCTCCTTAAAAACATAAACAAAACCTGTCTGACAAAAGCTATCTTACAGAAAAGTCAAAGGTACTGATAAGATCACCAATTGAATCCTTTCCGTCTGAACACAGTATCACCACTATTATGCCTTTGTCCAGACTCCACAATTTAACTAACCTAATTGTACAACTTACTCTTTTAAACAGAGGTTTGTGAATAGAACTTCCCAGTCCCCTGGAAAAGTATGTTAAACAGCAATATCATAAAGTTCCTTTGACAATTATTTTTGGTGAGACGTATGCAAGTCTCATTCTGTCAATAAATGTTTTCAGTGTTTCATTGGTCCTTCTGACTTTTGAAAAATCAATTTATTTTTCCTTATAACTGCAAGAATATTAATATTCTCATCCAAAACATTCTAATGCAGAGAAAAATTAACTATATCTGCTTTGGGAAAGACAGCCCTACCTTCCCTGTATGAGATCCAAAGTCAGCTCTGAACCTCTATCAGTACCCAATACATGCAAATTTTCTTCTCATGCATTTTTAACAGAAGCTTTCACTAGCAATTTTGATTATCAGTTCTTCAAATTTACTGCTGACATGGAATGATTCCCATTGCACCATCTTTACTGGTGTGTTACTGGATGTGTCGGGTGAAGTCAAGTCACATGTAGTTAGTTATAAAAAAATACAAGTGAAGGTATTAGCTATAAAATTGTCAAGTTCATTTCACCTTTAGATTTGAATTCATTTTTACTTGAGAAGGCCTCCTTATATTATACAGTTGTGGAATTCTTATGTTTTTCAGCATCTAACAAATCCTATAAACTCTGAATTATAAGCATGATTTCTATGTTTCAACTTGCATTCTCACTTAATGATCGAGATTTTTTAAAATAGACATAAGTGTGAGACATGAAGAGCCCATGAATCTTCACTTAAAGCCAGATTCTTCTGCCTCACTTAAATTTAAACTCTGCATAAACATTTACTTTGTAAATATCACTTTGCTAGTTTAAGATGTTACTCTCTTCATCTTGTTATTAATGTCTGCTGGAAGGTGGCTTCTACAACTCTGCCAGTGGAAGGAAGGGTGAAGGCACTCCCTCACACCGGCTGACAATACTTTGAAAGCACAGATAGATCTAGGAATCTTTAGAAGACACTCTACAGTTTCACAGACTTAAAGCAGTTTAGAGTAGCGTTAGCTTGCAGCAGCTCTCTCTCACCCGTTTTGATTCTAATTAATATTACAAAGAGTATTTAAAATCTTAGCAAGAATATAATATCTTAACAGAAGTTTTAGAAGTACACAGGTTTTCTATAGTGACTATTTCTTTTCACCACAAGTTTTACTCTTCTTTGTTCATAGATATAGATTTTTTCTTTTTCTTTTTACCTGCTCACATGGTTGACAAGGCGCGTCTGTAAGAGCAGATCTCTTCCTGGCAGGAGATTATCACAGATTAGATGTTGATTAGATCGCACAGCTACTCCATGACAAACACAGAGAGAACACAAAACATCCAAAACCTGAAAAAAAATAGATTCTTTTCATCTTACATATTTTTTCATGCTCAAGGGTTCATAATCACTGCGAGCTGCTTCAAGCAATATAATGCTATATACCTTGTTACTGGAAGACATGTAAAGGTATATAATTTATCCAACATAGTAGTTTTATTTTACAACAATTCTGAAATTCTCCTAACAATATTAACATACATTCTTCCTACTTCCCTTGAGATTTAGTGTTTATCAATGTTTTCATCAAAAAGAAGATAATGCCCCCCTTTACTTCTTCAAACTGCTCATATGTCTTTAAGGAAAAGTTTCATTCATTCTAAATATGAATTACGAATACAGTAATAAAGTATTTGAAATCTGACTTCTATAACATGCTTGTTTTGTTCACCTACATATACTTGTTTTGTTCACCTAAATATACTTGCCTCTTCTTTGCCTACCTTATGGTTTCTTCCATGTTTGTCCAAAAGACAGATAATTGATTTAATATGTCCTTCCTTAATAATGTTTAGAGCTTCTGGGCTTTCCACCAACACACAGTGTAAAACCTCTAGAATACCTGGGTAAAAAAAAAAGAAAAAACATTTAATCAAAGCATATAAAATCATAACTGCACATATTTCCTAATACACTGCTCAGCAACATGGAGCAGTTTCAAAAATCATTGTATATGATAAACAAAACCAAAACAGGACTGATGTTTTTTCTTCTAGATTTCCCAAAATAAGTGAATGTAGTAAAAATCAGAAAGGACAGAAAAAAAACTATAAACTAACTTGAAATTTTAATAATAAATACCTGATGATTAACACTCACAAATTCAAACAAACTGGGTAAAATATTGGTTTTCAATGGCTCTAAAGGGTGAAGACTTCACAATACATACCTATTATACACACAAAATATGCTCTCCATATTTAGTTTTCTGTGTCTTCCCTTAGAAAACCATATGACCCAGTAATGCAATCATATACCTCTGAATTAGAGAGTAGAGGTAAATTCCCAGTCTAATGGCCTCCTGTGTATAATTTTCTTTCTGCATATAATAGCTATACTGGGAGCCACAGTGATGTTCTTAAAAGTGCAAACAAATAGAAACCAGCATGAAACTAAGATATGCAAGGAAGTAAGAACCACTAAATCTCGAGTGGCCCCTCAATTAAATGCAATTCCAATCCCAATAAAGCAGCAGTCACTGCCATGAAGAATCATTAGCCTCAGAATGGTTCCCTGCAATGGCGCAGTAAAACAGGCTCCCATGTGGACTGGATCAAGTCACCACTTGCTTTGGGATCTTCCACATCTGGCAAAGACAAACATTACGCATGTGGTTCACCATTATCAGTTGCTACAGTTGTTGCCACAATGAGAAAAATCAGAGGGAAAACCGAGAAGCTGTCTTAAATGTAATTCCTATTTGCACCATACATTTCTCATCATTCTGCCTCCACCCCTGTATTGAAGCAATGGCTCCATTCATCTTCACCCTTACAAAGCAAGATCCATAGCTTGAGTCTTCTGCTCTTTGCCATGCTCGCTTTTACTGAAAGAAAGTTGTAGCACTGTGAACTCCCCTTGGTGTGGGAAAAAAGTTCATCAGACAAAAATGCTGTCTCAGTAAGACCACACTGGTCTTTCTTTGGTTCTAGTGCAGAAGAGATCGTCAGCCGCTACAGTTGAGTAAGACTAGGGTCAGCTAAGGAAAAAAAGTTCCAAACAGTTACTAACTGGTTGTGAATAAACCACTGAAAAAAAATGTGTGTAATAAATAAATGACCACTAATATTTAAGAATTTTAAGACTGCAGTTCATCCACATAACTGTCTCAGAACTCATCTGAAGTTTTCTGAACTTGTTAAAAATAAAAACAAGTTTTTCAATTTGTAAACAATAAAAAAATTAGAAATGCAAATTTAAGGAAAAATAATATGTATTCTGATTTACTGGGGGAATTTTTACATACACACATCCCTTTTTGTTTTTTTAAATAATTCCTGAGTAACAACAGAATATAGTCGGGAACATTATAACTAACAGATCACAAAGCCTCTCACAAACCAAAAATTAAAAATTAAGAGTTAACTGAGTAAGCATTCTAGAGTCAACCAAGGAAAAATTAAAAGACAAGCTGAAAACCAGAAACTCTGAACAGAATTTAAAGTATCGAGTATTAAAAAAAATTGTTGGAAACAATATATCTGTTTCTGCTAAGTATGAAATGCATGCTTATGCAGTGAATAATGAAATGCAATGAAATACATAATAATTATAAAACATTTACAGACTGGTATTAAAACCATTATTTAAGAGGAATATAAATGGCCAGGAGCTCGAAGTCTAAACTGTTATCTTTTTATCAAAGCAGCAGAAAATCCCATCTGGAAAATCTCGCAACTATCTCAGTGAGGAAAAGAATATTAAACACCATTAACAACTACTACAGAAATAACGTACCTATGCAAAGATATGCATTCGGAGACTTAGGACATGTTCCATTGTTATGCACCAGAAAAGACTAAAATACCTTCAGTTCATGAATTATTTTTTTTATTGTTAATTTCAGACCAACTTGTATTACCCTTACTTGCATTTGGATCAAGGTACAACGCTATTAAAAACAAAAATAAAGAGGCCAACACGACCAAAGAAACTGCAGACCTCCTCATAAAGGAAACCAACAATGAAAAGTTATCTTATAAAGGACAGAAATTTGGCTGTGCAGACTTCTTACAAAGGGATAAAAAGATATGAAGTATGTTATGAACAGTCATATTCAACAAGAATTTTCATTTTTTTTCTTTAAACATAGATTTTAGATTCCCATCTTTGTTAAGATCAAGTTACTCTGCCAGAAGAGACAATGGGTGCTTTTAAATCACTTGCTATTTGATAGTTCTATTTTTTATTTCCCAAGAAAATCTCAAATAAAATGAGGATTGGCATTCCCAGTGACTTCAATCATGTCTGCAGTCATCTGGCTTCATTCAGCTCTCTCATTTTAATCTCAGACAAACTACAGTACTATCACCTTTTATCCCAATACTATTTAATGTTTTTATCCAGGGATCTGGAGGAATATACACTGTCATCACTAATAAAGTGTACAGATTACTCAAGGACTGAAGTGTAGTGAAAGCAGAAGACAGCAGATACAGTAACAATTTCATTTATCTGGTAAACAGGTTTCAAACAAAGTATGTGTTTTAATATGTCTGAAGATGGAGTCATACGTATCAAAACAAAAAATGCAGGTGACCCAGTAAAGATATTGCAGGCCATTTCCTGTTCTGTGCACTGGCTCCAAAAAAAGTCACAACCACAATATAATGAGCTAGACATGAACTCCCAAACTGATTCTGTAGCCCTGGAGGTATAAGCAGAAAGTCTCAACTACAAATAAGAGAACATATTAAAACTGAATTTGGCAGTGGTATGATCTGGGCTGCAACAGATGTACACTTCCAATATGGATAGTAACAATATTGATAAAAAAGGATAAAAACCTAAGAGTCATGAAAGCAAGCTAAAGGAGTAGATGCCCTGCAGCAACCTAATAGGAGCAGAATCCACCCAGCCTGCCAACTAGAGAAGCATGGGTCACTCAAATATGGTAAAAGTACCTAGGGAGGTAAGAAAAGTGTTACAAAAAGATCCTCCATCTAGAGGGATGTAATAAGACCAACAACTTTATTGTGTGCCACAGTGATCTGGGAATGCAGGGAAATCTCTAGACTCAAAACTTGGTAATTCAAAGTTTGCTACCTCTCATTGTACCACTGAAATGCACTTTCAACAATATAAACAGTAATCCAATATTAAATTATACCATATAATGTAAGTGTGGTAACCATACCTTTGGAAATTTCAGATTTGTGTAGGTAGATTCATAATCTCAATTTTGCCTTAAACTAGTATACGGGGTTCATTTTCTAGTCTTAACCTTTTCAATAACAGAAGTAAAAATACTTTGAAAATGTAAACATTCAATAATAAATGAATGTTATCAACTAGACTCACCTGCCACGGCAGCTTCTTCAATTACTGCAGCATCTGAATGCTAACTATCAAACACATTTTGTTCTAAGGGCAAATTCTCTCTATTTCAGAAAAAAACGCATATGAACGTACAATGTCTGTTGGGACTGACCCACTTTCAGATTGTCTACATTAAAGAAAACTGCACCTGTTCCAATTTCACTGGAGTTGCTCAAGGCAGTAAAGCAAGAAGTGTTCAAACTTAATACAAATACCACAAACAGTATAATATGCAGAGTTTATGATAAAGATGAGTGAAAATTCGTTCTTAATGACTAACAGATTAAAGGAAGCATATATTTTCAGGAAAACATATTGACTCCTCTAATGTCATACTGTAGAATACTAGAATAAAATGCATGCTCTTAAAAAAAAATGCTCAAAACCTGATATTATCTGGTTTGAAAAATCTTTACTTAGAGGGTATTAGATTACAGACTTGCCCTATTCTATTTTTTATTACCTATGTTTTCACGGCTTTAAAATTTTAGTAGGACTAGTTAATCCCATCTGGAATATATTTCAGAGCGAGACTAATTTAATCTTAATTTATGCATTGAAGAGACAGCTGAAGCACTTGCATTGCATTATTCATTCAGCTCCTGTGATATCTCACTTCTAATATGGTCTATTCTCAGATACATTTATACTTGGACAAATCTTCATTTTCTTTCTTTTGCTTCAGTGAAGATCGGGAAGTGAATAGATTTCTAATCTAATTTGTACAATCAACTCACAATTGCTCTTTAAATATTTAATGCCTTTATTCTGTTTTCATAATATTTTAGTTCAAGGATAAGAAAAAAGTGAAAAAAATTAATTGTATTGATAATAGTTTACAGCATCAGATGTTTACCACAACACATTCAAGAAAACACCTACAGGAGATGTAACTAAAAACTTCAATGTTGAAGGTGAACTTAGTTTTGATGAGATGACTGGGCGTTGTATTTCTTCCTCACAAACACTCTACCTTAGAAAATGAATTAATTATTTTAAGCTAATATATGCAGCCAAGTATTCTTATTCAAAAGGTGTCATATAATGCAGTATTTCCCCCTATTGTAGTCCTTCCACTGTAAATTAAAACATTTCATATCCTCACCCCAATCAAGCCACATAAAAACTTAAAATCTGGCAAGCAAGCATCCCACATAAAATCACAAAAGTACATTTACATACTAAAAACTAAACCTACTGTGCCTCTCCAGATACGTAAAGCACAGCATAAATAGTGGCTTGTATAACTGACTCCTTCAAAAACAGAAAAAATCTTGATTATAAAATCAGTTTTGGAGGCAACATGGAAGTTATGTTACCCGAACATACGGGGAAGGAGTTCAAGTGTCCTAGTTCCTAGAAGAAAACTCAGAACAAATGAGCATTGCAAATATTAGTACCTTCAGTTCGCAGCATGTCATGAGGTTCATTATGCAGTACGACTACGTCAGATTACTCTGCAGTTTACAGAATTCATCTCACACTTTAATATCATAAACATTAGGTTTTGATTTTCAAACTTTATTTTGAGATTTATTTTTAAAAATACATACATAACAGGAACTATGTAACACAGCATTTTTAGAGCTGTCATACCAAGTTTCACCTTGAACCTCCAAAAGTTGAGTGCGAAGTTTTGAATTATTTCTGAAAATCCTAGCCCTGAGAGTTTCAGATGTAAAATTAGGTCTCTTAGGAAACAATAAATAAACTATCTTAAAGAATTTGTGTCTAAAGTGAGACAGAGTTCCCAGATTCTCAAATCATAGATGTGTTTCAGGCATGCTCCTTCTTGCTAACTTGAAACAGAAGTTCAGACCTCAGGAGTAAGAGACGTGATTGAAAAGGGAATGTGTATGTATTACGCAGGTAACACTGTTACATGCAAACATATAGCTATCTTCTGAAGACCTGTCTATTACACATACTCAAGTAGAATACATGAACTTGTCTACATTACCACTACAGTCCTTCAAGAAGAGACAAATTATATCCATTCTATATGGTTTATAACTGTAAATAGTTTGATGCAAAACCTGAAAAACATGCAGACTTCCAAAGAGAAGGGAAGCTACTAGAATTAGAGAGAAAGCAACTTATTACAACTGACACTGTGGAACAACTGTTTTGCCAAATAGTTTGTTTTCCTGAATTAAAAGATAACACTACAACCAATTGGTCAAAGAAAAACTGCCAGAACTTAAGGTAGAACTAGAATTGAAATCAATACGTAAAAATGTTACAAATATAAATCTCACTTTATTAATATAATTAACTCTCTCATGTAACTTCATGACTGAACAATTATATCGCCAATTGCAAAGAATGAAAATCTGGTCAAATACAGAAGTTAAAATAATAAAAAGCATACCAGAAGAGGCTTCCAGTCTTTCTAATCTGCTGATCAACCAATCAAGAGATCCAGAAAATTGAGCACAGTTTTTACGATTCCCTCGAATCAGAGCCGCTATTGGAAAAAGAGAGAGAGAGAGAGGAAAAAAAAAAAAAAAAACAGAATTGTAAATCCATTTAAATTAAAAGAATCTCTGTCTTGTCCTTCAAGGAAGGATCCAGTAAGATAGATTCTTCAACTTTAATTATTGATGTTCTTGACTGAAATTTAAATAATGTAGAGGTGGTTAGACTGAAGCATAAGAAATACCCTTGGCATAAAACTGACCTTTAAGGTATTTAAATTATTTTAGCTTTACAATCACCTCAATAATCCCTGAAAAATTCTCTGCATGAAGTAGCCCACTTTGACACCACAAAAGTCAGCTGCTACTGTAGAAAGACATTTCTGTAAAGCAGTATTCTTGTAATGACAGGAAACAGTGGAAGAGCAGAATGTGAAGCCAACAAAATAGGTGATAAATGTAAATTATTTTCTACAGACATAATACCTTTTTTCAATAATAATAGGAACTAAAACAAGATAAATGTCCAGGAATTGTCATATTTTCGGCAGGGCTTTAGGGAGGAAGTAAGTGGTTTGAAACCCTCATGCTTTAAGTTGAAGTATACTGAATGCATGCACTGATTTTGTGCGTATAAGTGACTAGAAGTCTCACTGGACACTGCAGGCATCCTCGTGCCCGACCTGTCCTGGAATACATACATTTGCATCTATGTGCACACAAACAAGGTCTCACAGAAGCACCTGTTCTACTCCAAAAAAAAACAGTGAGGCACTAACATTTCTGTTTGGTGAGTTCAACGGTACAAACTGCTTTTCTTAAGACTGTTTTCCATTTCTGCCAACGAAATATTTCAACCTGAAATTTCCATGTTTATTTTCAGCAGCAGAGACTGTTGGTCCTGCTAAGAACCAATGGCCTCTTAAAAGCTATGTTTTATTGCTGCAGAAATACCCTATGTTATATTGCAACCCTGCTTTTATGCTGTTTCATTTATAAAAGGTTAAACTTACAGACCTGTGACATGAATATGATATGAAACTGTATCTGCAGAGGGGAAAAGCAACCTTGCAGTTAGTTGCAAACAAGTTGCTGCACTGCGAGTTTTTTATCATGAGGAAAGAGACCATAATCCAATTGCTTCACAGATAAAACCAAAGCGAAACAACAGCAAAAACCCCAAACCAATAAACCAACCAACAAATCACAAACAAAAGTAAAAAACAACCCCCAACAATCAAAACAAACAAATTATCTTGTTGATATTATATGATACAAAATCTATAACATGAAATCTTACATAGTTAATTAATCACGACCAGTTATTTGAAAATACTTGGGAATCATAAGAGAAGGAGCAGCTTGTTAAAGGACACCAATTAGAACTAAGGGACACCTGTTTCTCTAAGCGACTTTGTGATTTATTATAGGCAAGCCATATAATCTCACTGTGTTTCAGGTAGGAACATAAAATGAAGGCAGTAATAGTTCACTGCTTAACATGAAATCAATAAATTTAACTTCATTGACAGTAATAAGACACAGATGGTTTCATAAATGCAGCTAAGCAGAAGGTTGTGAAAGGTTAGCATTCAGTGGTTAAAGCTGTGCACTAAATGACACACAGAGCCACTTAACATTGAAAACAAAAAATAATATGCAACAGTTGTTTCTTTTATTGCCCACTACTCTGAACACGACTAGCATCCAGTCTTAAAGAAATAAAAAACAAAAACAGGATGTGGTCAGTCAGATATTAAAGTCACATCATTACATATACACTTGCACATCTTTGATGATACAATAGGATCAGATACAATTGCAGAGTGATTCTATATATTTGTAACAGAGGAAGGACAGATGCCTTAGTAGATATATGTCAATCATTTTCAATTGAAAGAGGGTAGATTTAGATCAGATATAAGGAAGGAATTTTTTATGATGAGGGTGGTTGGACTAGATGATCTTTAAAGGTCCCTTGTGACCCAAGCCATTCTACGGTTCTATGATTTTTATAGTATCCAGACTCAACTCAAAGTGTGTAAATGCCTCCATTCTCATCACAGTGCAATATATCACAAAGTCACTGACACGGCAAAAGCTATGAATTGTGGCATCGCATTTTACTTTTGTTTATGCACAGAATCAAAAACAAAGTCCTGTTTGCTGAAGCAAAACTGTGCAAGCAAGATCCATTTCTCATCCATGCAATTACTGCAGAGCTCTAGCATTATTCAGAACACAGCAACATGCAAATTCATTATAGCCAGATCAAAGCCAGGCTTCTTAAGCATTAGCTGCCAGAAGATCTCAGCAACTCCTCAACCAGAATCACAGCCACAGGAACCACCTTGTACCCTAACAGCCTGCAACAAGAACGGTGATAGTAGTCACCATTCAACTAGCTCTTTCCACGATTTCTCGGAACAAAGGAGAGGTATTTCTGGTTGACTCAACGGTATTTATTTACTCAGTCAACTTCTGTTTCCTCTGACAGAAAGGGCAGTGCGCCAGACAGAAGCACCTCATTCATTTTATCAAGGGCTGCACATCATGTGAGATTATTTTCTTCTCCGGAAACACAAGATGATGGACTTACTTTGACTATGGAAAAGCTTTACAACAGTACTATATGCAGAACTCCTGTCTCATTTGCCTCATTTTGCTGTTGAATACTAAGCAGAGTTTATGTGAAGTGAGGCATGCCATTAAAATTTCATTTCCTGTGCCTCTGAATTCAGAGGAATGGAAGTTTTCAGTATGCCTTGCACATATGAAATAATGGTGAATATTCTGAAGAAAAGGTCAGATCCCACAGGTCTTAATTTGGGAACTAGCACTGGTAGAGTCTTTTTACCTAAATTTCTCTCTCTATCTGTTCCTCTGAGTGAATGGGAGATAATGCCTTCTATTTGTCTTATTACTGAAGATTCCACCAAGAACACTCATTAATAGTTCTGATTATTGAGATCTAATTATTATGATCTCATTATTCAGATTCAGATCAGAATCACAAATGGCACAAAAGAACTCCAAGATAATGGTTTTGTTTTACAAACACGAATTAAAAGGCTCACAATAAATAAGGTTCAATGCCACACACTGAGTAGCAAAGAGAAAAGTATTGTAAGTACCAGTAATAAATGAGCACTAAATAAGGAATGGGACTTATAGAAAAACCCACTATACACACTGTGTTCAGACACTTCTTAACAACGTGGTTCACTCCATTTTACAAACTCAATACTAGGTTGTGGAATTTTTAATTGAATTGATGTATAACATAACATCACATCACTTTTATACCTTTGCAACACAAAATTTCTCAGGACTGAGATTTTACAAGTATAAATGATACTTGCTTTACTGGAAATTATAATGTTTTACTGGAAAGTAAGACAGCAACCTCACAAGAGCACTTTGTCCAAACTCAAGCTTTGGCCAAAACACGTGCAACTTCAAAGGCAAGCAGGCCCTCACATTAGAGCTGGTGTGGGACAGAAAGCAATCAGCATAGGCACATGCATACAGCCTACACAAAGGACTGCTTAATAGCAGGGACACATTACTGTCCTTAGTCACTTAAGGTCAGCATTAATGTTATTATTTAACCTTACTAATGGCAACGAGAAAACCTGATGACAGAGGAGCAAGGAATTGGTCTCTTAGGCAGTAAAGTTTCCAATTAACCACTTGTCAGGAGTGAATATGCAGGCAGCTATAGTATTGGATTAATGATCCTGTATAATGAGTCATAGTAGAACATAAATAACAAATGCAAGTCAAACTGGTGAGCAAACAAATCAGGCAATTAAATGCCTGAAGCTAAAAACTACCTAAAGAGAAATTTGACAAGGATACCAACACTTAAATACTTACAGAAGGTATTATGAGATTTTTAGTGACTGCAAGTGGACAAGACCTTCATGATATACTGCATCTAAAAGAGTGTACCCTTCCATGGCACAGTTTCCTCGTATAATGCTGGAGTCACTTGTCATTACTGACTAATAAGAGAGGTCTTGGTGATAGAAGCTTTAGATTTATGATGCAGTTCTGCAGCCAGATGTGTGACTTCTACACTACAAACTTCTACAAAACTGACCACAATGTCATGGCTCCTTAACACAGGAATTACATATTCACATATATTATTTTTCACAGATTTTTGGGCAGAATAGGAGATACACCAACAATACAATATATGAAAAACAAACATTCATTTAATTGAAGTCAGAAACATGTTATTTATCGCAATAAATCATTTCTTTATCATAATAAATATTATTAGAAAAATTACATTATTTGAGTGTTTCCAGTGGATTTTATTCTTTGCCACATGCAAGGACCTAGAAATGCAAAAATCTTGCTTAATTTGTAACCTAAATTTCTACACAGTGGGAAGTCTTCTATACTGAAACAGGTATGTGTTTTTTTTCATCTGAGTATTATTTTGAGCTAAAATAACCAAAGTAGCCCATAATATGTCTTACCTAGTAATTCATACAAAGAATTCAGAATAGATTTCCATGCTTCTCCAGCTTCCTTCCCAGCTACATCTGCAAAATGAGCTGCACTGCTGTATACATTCAAGCGATCAATACATTCAAGAACAAGGTTGATCATACCCTAAAAAATGGAAAGGCTCAGATTGTCAGAGAAGAAGAAAAAAAAAAAAAAAAAAAAAAAAAAAAAAGTATTGTTTAGGTGCAAACACACAAGATTTTCAGAAATATAAGAAAAACAAAACATGGAAGGCAGGATATGCAAAACACAAGAACGTATACATGGAGACAGACAAGTGGAGTCAAACAAGCAATCACTATGGAAAATGTTTCCTTGACTGTTATAATAAAAAAATTTACCATTTAGGATAGTCAAAATAAAGCAAAAAAATAAACAGTATTCCAGACATAATTTTAGGCAAGTTTCTATTCCAGAAGGCATTTAGGAATCTAATTATAGTCAACTATCACTACCAGAGAAATAACAGACAATATTAAACAAAACACTTAAAGCAGATATTAAATGAAAACATCCTTCTGCATCAAGAGATTAAACCATAACAGAAGAAATTAATTCACACATAAGGTGTAAATTATTGTTATAATTCAGGACTCAAAGTCATATAATAATGTATTTAAAAAAAAAAAAAAAAGGAAAAGGAAGTAAGGCCTTAAATGTATTTCTTTAAATACAGAAGAAAATCAACAGATCTAAAGAGATTACAGAAGTAGCAAATAGTTTGACTCTTACAGGGCAAAAAACTCATACTCTAGATTAGATGTCAATGCTACAGACACTGTGAGAGAATACTTCCAGACAATGTGATGGAAAATCAGGAGTAAAACTGAGAGAAGTACCTCTTCCTGGAAGAGGTTCTGGCGATTCTTCAATGCTCGGAGCCTGTTTTGTTTGTCTTCATGCTCCAAATGTTCATCAGGGGGGTGAAAGTAGCCAATCAAGTCCTGAAGGCTCAGACTGACTGACTCGATAGGCAAATCGACAGTGGAAGACTTCACTTTCTTGCTGAGAGCATCAAGGCCCCTACAACAAGATGCAAAGTCTCCTGAGTATTGGAAATTATTTTATTGTTTAAACCATTTATTGGTTTAAAAGTGAAGTCTGTTTAGATGTCAAAGCTCAACTCAGTTTCTGACAGCTATGTAACTTCTCAACAATAATTTGTCTGCCCCATTTTCCACTTAACGATCTACCCTTTCCTTCTCAAACAGAAACAGGAAGCATCAAAAATGCTGTTTCCCTTAAACACTTCTGAAATCCATAAAACAGGTTTTAGTATTCTAGCTACACATTTAGCAATATCAGAGACAAACCACAAGATAAAAGAGATGATCCTGTAAACCTGTTCAAAGCATCACGAGGCTGGAAAGGACAGAGTCAAATGATCACTCCTGTGGTGCCGAAGAGGGCCCAGCCAGTCCACACAGGCTCTCGAGCATGTCTCTAACCTGTTCATAATCCATCTTCAGTGCTGGAAGATGCAGCTCTTCCGCACACTCTGTCCCAGCACCTCATTAGCCTGTTTCCCTGATACAGAATCCAGGCTCGGCCTGCTGTAGTCTATGACCATCCTCTCCTAGAAGCCAGGGGCAGACCGTTCTCATCCATGCTGCCCTTTGCTTAGCTCAATCCTCAACAAACCCCATAATCCAATTTTTCCTCAGCGCTGTGCTTTCCAGCCCCCCGATATACCTTTCTCCTCCATTTAAACCTCATCTTTCTCGCAATGCGGCTACCACTGCAGCTGAGACCAGCACCACGCAGCAAGCAGAAGGCAAGGGCTTTCCTGTGCACCTCCTGGGCTCCCCTCAGGAAGGCGGTGGTGGGCCAGGGCTGGGCAGGAGGGCTGCCCCAGCTGGGGGCTGCAGAAGACCCGCCAGAACCTTCTGGAAGGAGCAGGAGGGGCTATGAGGGGTAGAGAAACCAGGGGTACTGAGGGCCTGCAAACATAGTGCCCACCCTCAGGGAGGAGGAAAAGATCCAGAGGATCCCGAGATTTTGGAGGCGCCAGCCAGGGCCCTGCAGCGCTGGGAGAGGAGCAGCCCTGAAGGGAAGGGCCCACCCTGACGGCACAGACAGGGAGAGCAGGACAAGGGGGCTTATTTGACACTCATGACTTCTCTTTTGACTCATTCTCAATTTTGCCATTGTAAAAAGGTTTTTTTTCGCTAGCATATTTTTGAGCAAAACCCAGCTGTGTAGCAAAGAGGTTCTTTTTGTTTGCACTGGTGTTCTGTTTACACCAACCTAAAGACCACGGAGGTTCAGCTGGCAGAGAGCCCGCCATGGCCACGCAGGCACCCTCCCAGCCCCGCACTCATCTCTCCCTCTTTTCTTTTGTTAGACGCACCCAAAGGTCCCCAGCACCCTGGCCCACAACTGTCCTCGCCAGTCCTCCTCCCGAGCTGCAGAGCACCCTGCTCACTGCCAGGATTCCTCTCTACGATAGATTCCTGGCCACAATACAGAGCAGAAGCCCCTCTTTATACTCTGCTTTTTGCTGGAATAAGATAACACTGCTAAATACTGGGGGGGGGCGAGGGGGGGTGTTCTTGTTTGGTTGGTTGTTGGGTTGGGGTTTTTTTTAACTGGCGTGTCACTCTATTTTCACCTCAAATGGTAAACTTGTAAATTTAGGAAACGTGAATTCAGTAGGAATATTTCCTGCTGAAAAAAAAACAATAAATAATTCAAAGGTTCAAAAAGATAGCTACAAAAGTTATTTTTAAAACTTAATTTTCATTGTGAGCACATTATCTGAAGTGCAATTTTTCTACTAACTTCATGGGAAAGAACGGAGGCACACATTTATGAGAATAATTTTGATTCTCTCCAATTCAGATTTTTCTTCCTGGAGTAACATCCTGTCAAAACTAAATTGTTAAACACTACCTTGGACTCCCTGTGCTCTCTGTAAAAATCTCCACTGTAATTTAGCAGTAGCTCGATTTGTGAAACCCTGTCATTAAATTGCCTTTCTCTGTCCTTATCTTTTATGGCATTCTTAGAAGCTTCTAAGAAAATGTATTATTTACAAAATGACCTAGGGCTTGCAATTCTTTTGTATTTTAAATGTCACCCAGTAGGCAATTCTCCTGACAGGCATTTTTCTCTGTTGTTATTTAAGTACCTGGGTAAATGTTTTTCAACAAATTGACATGTCTATGTCTTTGGCTGCACACTGATTCAGGACATGGTTGCTTCAGGTCACCATCTGCCACATTGTCTCCTCTTGCAAAAAATTAGTTCCTATGAAATTCTTATCACTCCATGTAGTCTTGTTGCATATCATCTTTTTTCTAATGCCAGCTACACTGATGAGAGGAGCTTTCATCAATTACTGAAGTCACAAACGCTTGAGAATTAGCATTTTATTAGTGTTATTTAGGAGGACATTTGGAGTAGGAAGATAAATGCAAATTGCATAAATCTGGCAGTATTTTTAAATGGTTAAAATATTTAAAAAGAAAACATTTTATGTGTTGCAAAATATTAAAGAAACAAGTAGCATTAAAATTGAACAAATAAGGAAATTGTAATGGGAGGGCAGAAAGAAGGTGTAATTTCATACTTTTAAAAAAAACTTTTTCTTGAGATTATTAACTTCTTCAGCATATTTGTGTCTTGTACCAGCTTGTAGTTATATATTTATCACCCTCTTCCAGGTTTTTCAAAGAAGAGCATTTTTAAAAACCATACTTAGAAAAGAAAGAGTTAAACGATGCACTGCCTGACTTACAGCAAATTTTGGCAAGGAAAAATGTCTCTTTTATGGTTTGTTTGCATTCTCAGTATGTTTACTCATTCAAATCAAGGTCAAATAATAAATTAATATTAGAAGATAGAGAAAAGAAACTGACCAATACCTCTCAAGGTACATCTCTGTTGATAACACATAAAGAATTGGCATAAAGTCTGGTTTAAGAAGTATTCATCTGTTTTTTTCCTGAGGGTTAAATTGTTCACTATTGTGTTAATGGCCACTTTGAATAAAATAAAACAGAAAAAAAGAAAAGGGATGAAAAGATCATTTTAAAAGCACACCTTATAAACCTGTTAAAGAGGAAGACTGTACTACGGATGACACGTGCTGTACGGGATTCTTCATTCTGAGATCTGGACAATGTTAAACCATCATCCATGTGACCTTCATGGTGCATTATTGCCTGCAATACAAAAATAAATAGCAGTCACTGCAAAATGAAACATTATTCACAAATGAGAAGTATGAAAACTCACGTAGTAAGGCAGGCAAGGAAATTATGAAGTCACATACAAAAAACAAAGGAATTTGATTAAAAATAGATAATCCCATGTTTTACTTTGTCACGTCCAAGGACACACTTGTACTGAGTCAGCAGGTTCAATATCATAATAATCTCAAAGCCGCAGCTTCTGTAAACAATATACTTTATTAAAAACAAAAAATCAAAAGTCCAAGGTTTTTTGTTTATTGTTTGTTTTTGTCCATCTAAAAATAGTTCCCTTACACAGCAGCAGATCCCTAAAGTACAGACAAGGTCAAAAAAGATATTCTTTACTGGTCCCGATTTCCAAGGATGTTCCTGGCCTTCTTTTTTACCTATGTCTTGAGTCACCGCCCACAACTTCTGGTTTTTATGTTTAGTTATCATGGCTCTGAAGGTATTCAATCCAATCTACATAAATTATTTTAGGTAACAGTGTTTTTTTCATTCACACACACATGTACACACGCACACTATATCACTTACTAAATTATTCAGTAATGTATCTTATTTTAGAATTATTTCGGTATTACAGTTATTATAATTATTAATTACATTAGTACTATAATCACAAAAATTTTACATGTATGTATAAACGCTGTTTCCTAAGTATATATTATTTTATAGAAAATATTTATAGAATATATATGTGTGTATATATACACACTTATACAGAAAATGTTTATATATATTTATATATATAAAACTACAAGCATGACCTTCAAGTATACTGGATGTTGTTCTAGCTTTGTAGTTCTGGCATGTAGAACAGTTGTAGAAAATACCACAGTGTGGATAAACATAACTTTTTAAAGAAGGTTAAAACATTTTTTCCTTGCTGAGAAATAATCTCCTGCAATGTTAAAGACTTACAATAAACACTAACACATATGCAGCTTCTGGAAGATGTGTTAGGTTGTAAAAGAATCTTTTTCCTACTTTATTATGCTGAGCTAGCGTTCTACTCAGCCATGATTACTCTTTAAAAGTAGAAACACCTCAGGGCTCAAGACTTGAACATTCCACCTCACATGATGGAAAGAAAAGACTTTGAACTAAAAGCCTTCCCCATCCAAACTACAGAATGCTGAAAAAAAGGAATTTTAGTGTATTCTACAGGCTATTACCAATATTAGAGTTTGACATCAAGTATACCCAGATTTATCAGTTTTGTGGGTTTGTTTGGCTTTCAGTTTAAGAATTCAGTACATCACGTAACTTTTCAATATGTAACCAAAAAAAAAAAACAACCTTTCACAATGACATGAAGACACGCTTAAAATACTTTAAACACAGAAATTAGCCGTCTCCTGTAGTTCCCTTCATTTTCCCCCTGTTCTCTCAGACTGTGACTGAATGAAATGCATTCCTATTTACAGTCTTACCTTCCGCTGCACAGAACCCATTCTTACAGACTTTGCATCAGCAGACTGGTACGTGAGCCATAAGCCTGTACCTACATGTTGTATGAAGCATATTGAATCCCCATACTTTATTTCAGGTGCTCCCATTCCATCCACCTCTTTTCTTGTCCCTATGTCCAACTTTTCCTGAAGAAGAAAAAAAAATGCATACAAGAACAATAACCAATATGTTAATATTTGCATAAAATATTGACTACCAGGCAATTGTCAAAAACAGGACCTAAAAGAATATTTGAGATCCTTCTTTAATGAAACAATTAAAAATTGACAAAAGTGTAACTTCTAGTTAAATACGTAGGGAAAAGATGGAGAGAGAGAGATCCCTTCCACACAAAAATCACACGAGGAAAGCCAGGTGTATTCACTTCACCTGCCTAGGAAAGAACTAGGAACTTAACTCACCATACATAAAATTATTGAAACATAAAGCTTACAAAACAAAACCAAATACATTGATTCCCCTATCTGAACCAGACATTAATCTCCAGAAGCTTTTTCTTGCGGACTTTTTTTTTTCCCCAGCCTGGAAAAGATGAGCACCTCCCTACAATTTACTTCTAACAGTCACAGAGCGATGGTCTTTAACCTGTCACTGCCCATTATCACCCAACAATGGGCTCAGTATTTACCAAGAAAAGAAATACCATTTCCATGTCTTTGTGACCACCCTGTTGACATACTGTGAAAGAAGAATGGCATGACCACGTGTCAGTCCAGCTGGTGTCCTATACAGACAGCAGTTGTCTCAGGAGAGAACATGTAGTATCCCAAACAATATTATAGTTTGCAATTGTAATTTGAGGTATTCTCCAATACCTAGCTCTTCTAAGAACCCACTTCTTCCCCACAGACATCAGTTTATAAAAGAAACAGCCTATGCACCGTGGTTCATGGCAGATCATCCATTTAATCTCTCCAAAAGCATATGGTTCAACCCATCAATATACCTCGTCTGCCTGCACTAGCTGTTAAATCCAAAGGTAAATACGGAAAAAAATATGTTACAAAGGATCAGGATATATCTTGTTAACTGTAGGAAAAATGTTAATGCAGTTATGCCCAAAACTTCTCAGTGGACTTTGACCTTCTTCACTGCAAGTTCCTGAGGCTTTCACCACTAGCTCCATTTTAGGCAAAAATCTTCTCCATTGAGAGTAACCAAAACCACTTTGACACATGAGTTTTGATTCATGTGATCAATTTATTGATATAGAAACTATCCATCATTCTGCTGGGAGGAGAACACATAATTGTTGCAGTTGAAGCCAAGACTACTGCAATACTGCCGTTGCTGGTTTGCATTCCCTTTCACAACTTCAACAGTGCAGGCAGGCTCACCAGTGCAGTAACTCCCTGCATTCTGCTTCTACATACACTCACACATGCCCAGATAAGAAGCTGCTTAATTTTCACTACTGTTCAAAAAAATAATCTGTGCAAATTGCAGGCCTATTTTAGCCCATACATTCAGGGTGCAAGATGATCCCCTTAACAACATACAGCTTCAACCTTCTCTGCTTCTCCTGATCTGCAGTAGAGGACCAGCCACTTCCTTCAGTTCCTCAGAGTAACGTTACAAATAAAGAGAAAAAAAAAAACTTCTAAATATTCTATCCTGCTACAACCAGGAAAGATTAGGAGAAAGATTATACCATACACATGAGCCTTGACAATTTGGGAAGACAGCTTCACAGTGAAAGATGACAAAGACTTGGTTTTGAAATGAACAGAAGACAATCTCTAATTTATTAAATTTTTTTTAAAAGCATTTATTAAGTAACAGGAGATGTCATGTAACTAGATTTTCACCCTACAATTATCAATGCGTTTTGAAGAACTTAAAAAAAAAAAAAAAGACAACTGAATACTCAGGTGAAATTCTTATTATTACTTTTCATAACATTAAGCTTCCAGATATAATATATTCATCAATTCAGATTATTAAACTGTTTCTGGATACAGATGTTAATTCCACTATCTTGTACACATCTGATCCCTTATGTGCTGAAATTCTTATTAAAGTCTTGTCCATTGTTACATGGTAATAATTGATTTATTGATACATCTGATGCCAATTACTGAGTTATTGTGTGCTTCTATTTCATTATTAATTCATTATTCTGTTCATATAATTTCTCCAAATGTTATATTTAATTCTTTCAAAAACTAGCACTAATAACCTGAATGTAATAGCTGTCGGAAATTAAAAAACTACTTAAATAGGACATTGCATAAAAATGATGATACAGGAAAAAATAAATTGGGTCCTGCCATCATATGAAAAAATGACAGCCTGATTTCAAGCTCCAGTCTTCTGAATTGAATCTTTGTACCTAGAAGATACTGTGAACCTGTGTGTACATACTGTGCTTCTACATTGTAAGATTTTCTTTTTTTCCTCCTTGCAACCAACTTCTTAGGACACAAATATATGAATTGATGAATTTTCTCATAAAACACTGTCAAGAACATAAGGGACTATTAATTTAAAATATTATTCCATAGTTTCTTTAAAATCTACTGATTATTACAGAAATTTAAGGGGTTTGACATTGAAATTTTCATTCCAATTAGTATTAACATTCAATTTACTTAGCATAACAATTGCAGTGCCAACAATGTGATGAACAAGATCTTCGTCCTCACCTATGTAAATACACTGGCAACTCTGCATGTAAGTTTAGAGCCCAGACTGAATTCAAACACATTCAGTTGATCTCTTTCCTGCAAATAAACATAGCAGCCAGGAAAGGAAACACTACAAGTTGTATTGAAAATAGGAGAGAAGATGGAAAGCTAGGGAATGGTGTAGGGGCAGCAGGCACTAGAGCATTCATTTGGGACCTTCAAGATATTGCGCTTTTTTGGGGAGTGAATAGGAACCAGAAATTGTTTATAAAGGGGAAGATTTGAATGGAGTGTTGGTTTCATGCCAATAAACAGCCAGTAGCTGAGAAAGTATGTCTAAGGAATAAATCTCATTATCTCCTGTAAAATAGTTCATCAGTGAAAATCAGGATCTGAAAAACATCAGAAATCACTATGTCACCATTTAATAATTGCGTATTGGTGCAGATGCTACGTGGTGCAAGTTTCCAGCCCACTACACCTCTTACCATAACCTGTCGTTACATAACCATCCGCTAATTCTTCCTACAGCATATTTACAAAGAAAAGCTTCTGTTTTATGTGCAGTCTAGGCTCATTCTCAGACCATCAACTTTTTCTAAACAAAAATCAAAAGTCTTGATTCATTACACTGGAAAAAACAAAAACAATTGGGTTTTGCAACAGTCTGTAAAGCACCTCAGTAATGCAAAGCAACGAGAATGCACTGGAAATGAAGAGGTTTATTGAAGAATACACCAGATGTTCTCCAGAAGGACATGCTCTTTATAAACAGGTTTCATTCCATGCATATAAGAACACAAGTCAATCTTCCCACATTTTTTGTGGGCTAAAGAGACAAAGTAATTTCAAATGGCTTTATCTTAATGTTGAAAAAACATTATTCTGTGAAGCCTAGCCTTAAAAGTGTTATTCACTCTAATGCTTCTGCTTAGTTCCTTAAAACATTCTGAAAAGGATTCCCATGATTAAGGCTTGTCCTTTCAATTTTACCTCTTGTCATCTGACCCAACCTATACCTCCTGTGGCACACGTTCAGGACTGACATTCTAGCAGATCTCACTGACTGGGAAAAGCTAATTCATGACTGCTTTTTAAGCTGACATTAATGTATTTCCTATTAAATTTTATTAAGAAACAGGCCAAGATATAAATATACAGAACATAAAGTTGTATTAAAAATGATGTATTTCTGTCCACTGGAAAAGACTGTGGACAGGAAAAGCAGACTTTATACAGAATATATAAATATTTCAAAATTGGGAAAATTAGGAAAATTACCTTATTTCAGTGGAAAAGTGATATTAAGATGAAACTCTTTTTCAAAATGAATTAATACTTAGCAAATGTGAGAGAAAAAAATTATAGAACTTAATCACTACAAACTCAAGTCTATAAAAGAGCCATATGTTTGGGGAATAAATTATAGATATCTGTGGACATCCTGTGCTGAGTGAAATGAGACTACAAGAGAGAAAAAAAAAAGAATTCTATGAATTTCCGATGCTTGAAAGGCTAATATAGTTCTCAGTTAATGATAATTATTAGGGTAATACATAATAACCAGAGCACAAAGTCTAATCCCCAGAAAAAAAATGAAGAAACTGTTACCTCTTCAGAATATCCTTATCTTCTGAGCTCTTTGGCTTGTGATGTTTTCAAGCTTTCACATGTCTTTCTTTTGTTGAGATATTTAAAGAATTTTGACATGTAAGAAGATTCTGATCTAATTTTTCAACTATACCAGAATGTTGTGGTTTGGGAAACAAAGAAACCCCACAATACCTTAAGTTTTTCCTATGTCTGCCAACAGATATAAACAGTGAAGTAACCGGGAAGTTCATCAGAAAAACAAATAAGAAATGAGGAAACTGTTCCAAAAGTGGGCAAGCAGTAAAAAAAAAAAAAAACAAAACAAAACAAAACCCACAACACAGCCAGGTAGCATTATGCAAAGTGCGAAAACAGAAGCTTTCTAGATATTAATTGCACTGATGTTTGTTTGGTTGGTTTTTTTAATCAGTGAAAAGGTAGAAGGCTCCGATAAATCTTGCTTACTAAAGAGATTGGAACTGCTACTAGTTATATTAATGCTGCACTGATTCCATACCTTGGAAGACCGAAAACAGAATGCCGTAGATTTTACATCCGCTTTCTCTTTGTCTGTAAGAAGAAGACTCTTGTCATCCAGGAGACTTAAATATTTTCCTGTTGTTATATGTCTTAGTCTGAATGGTTGTCCCCATCTAATGTGGCTGCCACTCCACCTAAGAAAGGTCATAGGAAACGTTTGGTTTTTTTAAAACAAAACAGAGATTAACTACTGGCAAAAATATTTTAAAGGAGATTATATTGCCAACTAGTTGCTAAAAGGATAAAATTCTACTTGTTTGACTATTAGTAAGAAAATGGCTACTTTGTGGTTATCTCCTATAAAACTATTTTAATAAATAATCTTAACCTCTTCCTTTGTACAGGCTGCCTTGATCCAGACTGAATTCCCCTTGAGAGAAGGTATCAACGGCCTATGGAAAAGGCGGCTTGTGCAGTACACAAAGAGCTCAGATCTGCCAGTTTCCTCTCCAACATTTAACCCACCAGCAGCCCAGTTTGTTCACTCTCCCAGAGCACTCTCCTTCCAGCAGTCAGTACACTTGAGGTAGTGTGCAAAAAAGTAAAATAGCTAAATAAATAAATTACAATCCTCATAAAATAAATTTTAAAAATTATTAAGCAAAGACTGTCCCAGATTCTTCATAGTCTGTAGGAGGAAATGAAGGAAGAAAGGCAAAGATTTTCTATCTAAGCACTCCAAGAACTCCTCAATTTGAAATATAGATTGCAGGTTTCTAACTTCTAGCCTTAAAATGAAAAATCAGCTCTTCTCTTCTCCCTAACTCCTGAAGATAAACTTGTGCAGGGGTTACTAAGAAGGATGCATTTCACAGAGCCTTTCCAGAAGGCTTCTCAAATATTCCTTAGATAGGAAAATTGCCACAGCGAGGATGTTTTCCTGGATCTTCACAAAACTTCTGCAGTCTTCAAAAGTTTACACTTTAGATGTTCATGCACACTGCTTTTTGGAGAGGAAATCATACCTGAAATCATATCCGATGTTAACAGAGTTATGACATACTGCTGAGGTTCTGAAATGCTTCCACAAATGCTAGTAATTCTCTATGCTTACTGTGGCTTGAAATAACTTCAAATTATCAACAAATGTTCACATAGAACAATCGACAGAATATACAAACATATTATTTTGAACTTAACCTGATTATAAACTTACTCCCATATCAGAATTTTGTATTACTGCATTTTCTCACTTGCATTTAAAGTAATTCCAGATAAAGCAGTTAAAAACATAAAAAGTTTCTATGCATATATTGTGCATAGACTCACGTACTACTCTGAAAATCCCTTAAGCTAGCACTTACACAGGTTTAAGTCATTTCTGTTCTCCCTCACACACTCACGTGGCAGATTAAAGCATTTACCTATTCAATACAAATACCTGTTTGTTTAAACACGTATTCTTAAGAGTTGTCCATACTGTATGCAAAGTATGCAAAACTGATTTGGCAGATATTTGTAAACTGCAGGAGTTTTTAAAATGCAAGAACAATACCTGGCTTCTGTTCTCATAACAGGATTTATTACACTTCACTAATTAAACTTCTAAACCCTTTTAGTTACTGGTTTTAAAGAGGCCAAAAGAATGAAGAGGTTTTCCCCTCAACTATTTTCTTCTGTAAACTAAATAGCCTCTTCTGTTTAAGCTGAGGGGAGAGGACTTTGGGGAGGAAGGAAATATGGAAGTTTTATGTCTTAGAAATGCATTTCATTTTTTTTTGTCTTCTACACAGCCAAGCCAGTAAACTCCACAAAAGCATATCTAAGTATCAGCGTTCTAGCACAACTTTGGCCTCTCAGTTAAGTAAAAGGTCAGGTCATGAATCTCAGCTTTTGTATTGCTGGGTCTGGTAAAACACATCAGTTCTGCACCTTTCATATTATGGGCCATGCTGGGGAGCTGCCTTTTCTCTAGGCTAATTCAATTTTCTCTTGGACTCAATAGCTATGGACCATAAGAAAAAGAAAATAAGAAATGTAGCGCAACTGAGCTATGCCCCTAGTTCATGCCTGCAGGATAGGAAAAAGGACAATTCACGTGCACTTAGAAGAAAAGTCTTCTGAGCAGAAAGTAGCTTGTGAAGCCATTTATGACTACTAAAAATTAGTTTCTGCACTGTGAGAATATGACCCCTGCCACCTTTCAGGAAAGAAAACAATGCTGAACAATAGTATCTGGCATCCCATAGCACATGCAGACTGCCCAGGCAATTTTTATAGTTCTCTACTAATGAGGAGAGTTCAGAAACAGTGATTCCTTCAGAATCATATCAAATTAACAGAATTAATATATCTGCAGTCATTCTGGGAAGGACTAGAACTGATGGAGGGCTTCAGGCATGCGTATACTAAGTTACAAATTGAAGCACTTAAATGAATAGCAATGTGCCTGCAATTCAGCAATGAATGTAGACAACTATTAGAATATCATACGGGAAAACAGGGAGGTGAGGGACTTGTAAGAGTAAGTGTTATCCTTGGGGTTTTTTTCCTGGTAAGAAAGTCATGTTCCTTAAAATGAAAGATTACCACTGCCTTTCCTTAGTTGTTTTGATAGTTCTCACAATTTCTCTCAGTCATATATGTTCAAATGTTTACACTTCACAAGTTTGTATACAATGCCTGTCAAAGTGAGATATATGACAGTTGTAGCAGAACTCTGAATTTTCTCAAATCCCCACATTGCTCCAGTACCACTGCTTATTAGGGAAGTACATGCAACAAGGAAAATAAAAAGCCAGACATCCTTCCACTGTTTCATTTTTGTCACTTAAGCACTTTCGAGGTCAATTTTAGTCCAAAGCAAAAATCTCACTGCCCTATCAATGACATTTAACACCATCCTATTAAATAAAATGCACACACAGAAAACAGCATCATTAGAGGGTACCCATTCCCTAAGCTGCCCTGATTTAATCTCTAAAAAGCAATCATTTATTAGTCACTAGAAGTTTTATCACAAGCACATATTGTAATACAATTTAAGTGAAAGTTTACTGTGCAATTATCTTAACAAACAAGTCACAATTCCTTACTATCATTCCAACACTCATGCAAGGTAACACTTTTTCTGTAAATTTTTGTAAATTTTTGCCTTTAAGGACATACAAATGGCTTAAACAAGTTAGGGGGCAACACACATGAATTATTATGATCAGAACTGTTTTTCATTAAAAATGGTCAGATATGTGTGTAAAAAAGGTAAACTGTGAATTCACTAACAACTTCAAAAAATAATCAAAACACACACAGCATGTGTGCTAACATGCACTCTGCCTGTGACATTTTTTAATTCTTCATTAAAGTGTTATAGAGCTCTTTTTGAAGATTATTTTAGTATTATCTGTCTGGTTTTATAGTTAACAATCTGATTTTATAGGAATACTCTTACTACAGAAGAAGCACCCTGACAAACTGACTTCTTTTTCTGAGAGAGAATTTACTTACGCAACTCTTAGAGTCTCTAGTCGCCAAAGGGAACGAGCATGAATTGACACAGCACCACCTTCATAATGGACCGTTCTGAAAACCAAGCAAAGGCACAGACTAAATGCTCAGCTCTGTCAGAAGAATTCATCATATTTGTTTGCTCATTTAACTACATCTCTCATTTTAAGACTGACAAAACAATTATTACAACTGTCAGATTCAGTGGCTATCTTATTCAATATCAGCTCTTATAAATTAAACCTTCCGACCTAATTACTCAAACAAATACTATTTTAACTGTCTTTACCATCCTTTATTGTGATATTCGTAACAAGATTAATACAGTGTTTGCTAAGACATCTTCCTTAGTGTTTCAAGGGTAGAGAATACGGGGGTGAGGGGAAGACAAAAAAAAGCAATAACCTGATAATTATAGTATTTCTAGGTTCTAACAGAAAAACAAATATCAAATGATGACAAAGATTTGTGAGCACTGCATACATCCCACAAGAAATATAGTGTTTTCTCAGAGCTTATACTACTAAAATAACCATGGAACTTATTACATTGAATTATGAAGAGTCATTTATTTGTCACTGTATATTATTATCAGAGCATCTGAAATTTCACAACCCCAGTGATACAGTCTTCACATAGCTCAGATGTTAACAGCTTCCTGTTTCCAAATTTTAACATGTAATGACCCCTCTAGTTGCTGCATATCTGAGTGCTTCTAAAAAATACTCAATTGAGCCTGAAAAAAAGGTTGGGTTTTGTTCCTCCATTTTTTCTCAGTACAGATAAGTGACACATATGTTAGGTTCACAAGATGGTTTAGGTTTTATGGTCATCAAAAGCCCCAAGTTAGGTAACCTGGCTTCTCTTCAAAGCAAACACTGAGGAATGTGGTGAGTACAAAGCACTGCCACTCTAGATTTAGGCAGTCATTCTTCAGACTGCTTCCTGCCTGAACCTTTATTTCTGCCCTAAGACACTGCCAGAATTTTAAAACTTGGGCCTTTCCTTTGGGAAAATGAATAACGGAGTCACTTATGCAAAGGTATACTGTCACTATGCTTATCAGATCAAGTATGTCAGGGAACATTGCCAAGGAATGCCTTAGTTTTATGGATCCTGGAAGTGCTTACGGTTTGAGTAAATGTTGTGTTCTTCAGCCAAGATCAGGCACTGCCAAAAATAGCCAGAGGCATAACTTCAGGGAATATTAATACTGAAATTGTAGGCATTTCCCATTGTTTGTTAGAAGCAATTTTTTGAGGACCACAATTTTGGAATCAGGTGCCTAGTACTTACTAGGCTTTAGCTTCTGAAGTCCTCCTGTGGATGTAATAATACAGAGGGACTGAATGCTTAGCACAGAGAGAAATGCAGCATTGAAAGAGATGGTTCAAAACAAAAAGACATAGTGAGTTAGAATATATTTCTCAGTACTGTTAACGACACATGAAACTACAGATGTGCTAAAATTCATCTTGGAATATGCTAAAAAGTATTAAGGAACTCAACATTCCCAGACGTTGCACATAAAGGAAAATAAATTATAGAGGGGAAAAAATTAGTCAAAAATACAAAATAAATATTCCTCACTACAACTACAGAACCACTCACACTGAATATTCGTGACCACTGTATAAACAGAAACTCTTGTACATGCTCCATGTACCAAAAAGAAGTTACAGTGCATATATAAACATGTACAAAATCCTCCCCTTGACCTCACATCCAGTATTTCCTCCATGTATTATCTTAGTCATTTGTCGCAATGTTTGTGGTGCTAGGAGCAGTTGACAGGTATTAGCAAGTCTCTCATATCTCTCTCACAGAAGGAAATTAAATTCAAAGTCAATCTTACTTTTTATTGAAATTGACCTTCGTTAGTATAGCAAAATGCAAATGTTAAACAATCCTGCATTCAGCTGCTTCTCTGTTCAGACACTCTCTCTTCTCTTCAGGTATTTGTTCAAATTTTTGTTCTGCAACCAACAGACTGGGTTTATGTCGTAACACCTAAACAATTACAGATCAGACATCACCCTGGTTGCTTTGTTTGGGTTGGGTTGTTTGTTTGGGGGGTTTGTAGGGGGTTGTTGATTTATTTTTTTTCAAGTTAAAACATTCTTATTACATTCTGACTTACTTCAACATGAACCTCATGGACAAAAATGTATTTGTAATTCTTGCACTCGCATAATACAAAATTTAACAATTTTATTCAGTGGTTTTCAAGTCATTAAATATATGAGAAATTAGGTCAAAGCAAAGGCTTAAATTAATCAGAATATTTTATTTTTAAGTTGGCACTTTGTTACTTTTCAGGCACTAAGTTCTTTCTCTCAGTGGAAACCTGGAAGCTGTCACCAGTTTCTCAGTCTGAGCACTCTTTTGAAGCTAGCTTTGGATTACACATAGCAGTTGCGTCAGTGTAATATTAAACATCTAAAAAACCTCCCATTGTGAACTTCAAAGAACAGCTTCTCATGGATGAAGTAGTTTTCTGTTATGTGACTGTCCATCCATTATTTCCTTTCTCTGTTCTTTCAAAGGGGAGTTATCAGTCTTGGAATGGTCATGTAAGATGATAAAATGGCAAAGAGATAGAAAGAAAGAAATCCTAAATAAAAACATGCAATTTATTTACGAAAGGAAATAAAAAAGGATCCTGGGATTGTCTCTTATTTCATTTCATATATGAATGAATGGGTACAGTAGCAACAGAGGGAGTGAAGACAGAAAGGCAGTGATAGCACTTTAGGGACAAAAGTCAGAAAGTCAGCAGTAAAGCTTCGTCAAAATAATAAGTGACTGCAATCTGGAGGGGGATTGAGAAAGAGTTGGGGACTGGAGGGCTAGGGATCAAGGATCCCTACAGGGAAGCAAAAGGAGAAGCTCAGAGACTGGGGTCAAGGATGGAGCAGCAAGACTTTGTGTAGGCAGGAAAGAAGATATATGCTACAAAAAACAAGTTGGCACAAAGCACAAGAATAGGGTGTAAGCTCTTGTGTCTTTTCTTTAGCTAGATATTGTGTTCTCTACAGAAAAGATCATAAATAAAAGGTAGCTTTGTATAAAAGATATCTCTTCTACATTGAAGGGCAAGTCACTTTGCCTTTACCATAACAGCATGCATACTAACCATGGCCCCAGAGCAGCTGAATGAATTCATAACCTAGACCATCTCATGTTTTCATTCTGTCTAAGAAATCTAAAGTTCATTTTTAACTCCTTTCAGTAAAATAAATGTAGTAAACTGCTCTGAGATTGCTCAAACCAACTTCCTTATTATTTGCTCTATATAAAAACATTATTTCATAGGATGCACCTAATTTATTTTTATATACTCTTGACAGCAGTTCAGTGCTGAAAAGGAAATATGACTCATAACATCTTAGCTCTTCCTGAAACTGACAGTGGCAAGCCATATCAGATACTGGTATTATTAGGTGAAATGAAATATTGCTTTTAATGATGTGTTAATAACCCCAAAAAATTCTTTGACTATCAAAGAGTCACTACAGGTTTACATTGATAGGAGAGAAAAAAAAATTTCAAGTTGCAAGGTGCACGAAGATGTACATTACTTGCCAAACAGTTGAGAAAACCTGTGCATTATGAAACCTTATTATAAGTAATGTAAATGCATGAGTAAAGTACAAATAACAGCAGAAAAAGAGAGGACAAGAACCACAGTGAGTATTAGTCTTCCCAGAGAAAGCTCAGGATACGTTATACCTTCTGAGCCATACCCATAACACTAACTATTGACTTTTTTTCCCTATTCTTTCCAAAGCACTTTATTTGCAAATTCTACATTTATGGAATAACGATATTAACCACTTTTATGTCAAATGAAAATATCTATAAGGAATTCAGAACCTTTGAGAATTTTCATTTCATCTTTACTATAAACCTTAACCTAGTTAAGCAGTTGGTGTAATGAAGTCATTTTTTTTGTCTGACCTATAAACTGTAAGTTAAATTCAAGACATCACTCTTTTCCTGACTATGTCGTTAATCTGTTTAATTGTCCTTAACAGAAACAGCCACTGGATCTGGAACTCGTCACCTCGTGTGTCTCGCAGCGCTCGGGCTGTAATTACAGCACCACGGACAGCGCCACCGCTCCCCAGCGCATCCCCTCTCCTCCTCCGGCTTTCTGCGATGGGATGGAAAGGCAAAGGGACGGTAAACATCAAAACCAGCCTGGTATCTGAGTCTCTCATCTCCAATTACAACAACGAATTACTTACATAGGTTTAAAATAGACTACCATATATCAGAACCCCTGGAGAATCATTATTGAATTCCTATTGTTATTAAAGTATTGTTGAGCTGAGAGAGGGCAATCATTTCAATGAAATTCACTAGCTATAAACAGGCATTAAATGAGATTAAAATAAATTACATTAAATTACAGTGTTTCGATACTGTGAAGTAATCTTGGTTCAAGGACCTGTAAATTTATAGCGAGGAAATAATGGAGTAAAACTCAGCAACATGGAATGAATCACGACACCAAAAATATGGCATAAATAACATAATATTGTACCTGGAATATACAAAAATTAATAAATTCGAATAAGACATCAAAGTTCAATTTAAAGAAATTGTTCCACTCCCTTCAATGACAGGAAAGGCTGTTCTGTTTTCAATCTGAAAAATCAATCACTAAAGAGGTCTACAGATTTTTTTTCAAATTAATTTATAAAAGCACGAACACTACTATTCAAGGGTCATGGGTCAGGTGGGGAAGAGGTTATTGATTTATGCTGGGTGAAAACTTTCCAAGTTCACATTTCCCATCCTTGACATGCACATGCCATCACATTGATTTTGACTTTCACCACTTTACAACCTTGTCTACCCATTTCTGAGACCAACACAAAATGTTCAATATAATTTACAAAAGCCTTAACATAGCCATCTCAAAGGCAGGAACGATAAAACTGCTTCGGGAATTAGGCTGCACATATACACTCCCTCATGAAGGCCTATTCCGACTGGATGGTTTGAGAAATTGGATTCTGTTCCACCTCAAGTGATACTTTGCAAAAGCCAGGAGCACTTTTCTCTCT